CATTGCATAAATTAGCCTAGCGGCTAGCAGACTTTTTTTCCTCTACTCATATCTTAACAAATTACTTTAAACATGATTATTTTTCTTACTCACCATTGGTGTCACTGACTTTTTAGTCACTGTCTCTCCTGACAGAACAGCTTGGTTGAATTTCAGCCGAACATTGTTGAAACAGAGCAGCTAATGTTGCTGTAGTGAGAAGTTATGGGAGTGAGGTGTTCTTCCAGGCAGGTAACGTTACGTCATGTTTTATCTGGTAACGGCATTGTTTACATATACCATGTGCTCTGTCTGTTGACCCGTATTTTTTCCGAAATCTAAAATATTTCCACACTGATATATAATGTCACCCTCTTCCTGTCGCTGTTCGACAGTGACACAGACTTTCAAAATAAAAGCGCATCCTAAAGATGTCAATAGGAATCGATGTTTTCACTCTGCATCGATGATATTGGATCGTTGATCGCTGAGTCGATATATCGATCCAGAGCGATGGATCGTTACAGCCCTAGTATACTATGCAGGATTGTCAGTAACTGTTTGCAAACTTACTCACCAGTGAAAGTGAAAGTAAAAGCCAACCCTAGATTCTCTTGTTTGGCATTTCACCTCACTGTATTTGCGTTTTTCTGTGCTGTGTCTCTTGGATGCTTGCAGCTTACTGTCTAGCACCTGGTCGCTACCTTTTTATGAAGCTCCAACCTCACCTGAGTGCTGTGGGGGTACGAGCCCATAAACCTCCTGAACACAGAGAATAAGAAGAAAATCAAAAAATACAGACAGAGGGCAGTGTGTCCGCAGAAAAATACACCCCACACACTTCTGGTGGGTCATAAGTGATGATTGAGAGAGATTACTGTACATTTTTTGATGAAAGTCCTCCATAGTATGTCTTTGAAGAATTGACAGACTTGTTAGCCAATAAGGCACGAGTACTTGAATGTGTTTTCCTGTAAACCCTCTCTGATTGGTCTCGTCTTGCCTCTGTTCCGTTCTGCAAAATTACAGCACTGCGTTCTTTTGAAGTAACAATTACCCGCTCGAAGTGCAGACCTTTTAAAGTCCGAAAATGCAGAGTTTCAGATTAAACTGGAAAAATCAAATCCCTCCTTTGCACTGAAGCTGTACTGTAGAGCCATGGTGGTCCAACACCTTCCTGAGACACTTTATGTTGGGTTTTCCTTCATCTGTACTTCCTAACTTGAGGCAAGTGAGAAGCTCTGAGCTGCAACAGTGATTTGCTTTTCACTGCTCATAAAGAACAGTGCTACTGTGGCTGGTCAGCACATGTCCAGAAACACCATCTGTCTCAGCAGCTTTGTTTATGTTCATCCAACGCAAGGCTCACTCCTCTTAGTGGGAGTTTATTGCAAGTTATTGTTCATCCTCGTCTGGTGTAACCTCAGTGATGGACTCAATGTCAGCGTGTTAGGCTCATGCAGGAAGTGTCAGGAAGTGCTCTCACAGCAGTCATGGAGTTGAGAGATACAGAAGCTCCCTCAGGCCTCACTTTCACTGATCTGGCGGTTGCAGTAAGAGGTCTGGAGGCCGAGGTTAGAAACACAGATGATCGATTCTTCAAGGTGGTGGGAGGTTTTGGCATTTTTCCACTCTGGTTGGAAAATCCTCACACTGACTGTACTAAGCTGGCGATTGTGATTCTTGCGTACACATGGCAGCGCCCTCATTTCCCCTTTAACACACACACATGCACACAAGCAACAGAGTGTTCCCGCTCTTTGGTGTTAATCTGCCATGGCCTCAGGATGCAACTGTTCTCTCTTTTTGAATAAACTTTTCCAGAGTTCAGCAGTAGGTTTTCTTTTGTCTGCTCTGTTTGTTGTCAACTTTCTATTGTCCCCTTTCCGTGTTGGATTTGTGCTCGGAATAAAACTCCGCTGCTTTTGCTCCCAGTACTGTGATATTCTGGAGGGATCTTTTGAGATATACAAAACGCGTATTAACATTTCCTTTGTAAGGAAAGAAGTGCAGGAACATAATGAATTTCTCTTCAATTAAAGGAGAATCTGCCTTGTTAGCAGTTGGCATGAAATGTGTGAACTCATGACTTATGATCTGGGTGTGATGTATCGTCTTTTTGCCAGAGACCAACTGTCAGTTGGGACTTTTTTTCTTGTTTGCGTTGATGAAATTTGACCTTTTGTGAGGTGGCTTTTCTTTTTGTTCTTTCTGGCTGTTGTTGTTCACAATTAACACCCAGCTCTGCCTGCATATAGCTCGATGGATGGTCCAAAGTGAAACATCTGAACAACCACTGGATGGATTGTTTTTACATTAGGTACAGATATCTATCATGCCAGGGCCCAGACTGGATTAAAAGAAAAGTAGGATTCTGACATCAGATTGGATTATGTAATCCGGTTGTGGTTTTGATCTAATCAGACTTTGAGTATGTGTTGTTCAAAACTTTTTAGTAGGAGTGGAATACCTTTTGATTGAAAAAATCCAGCAGAAGGATACACGGTGGATTTCAGGAGCAAAATTCAATTAAACTTTTCAATTTGTCAAATATATATTCATAAATATATATACAGCCTATCCCAGCTGACGTTGGCGAGAGGCGGGGTACACCCTGGACAGGTCACCAGACTATCACAGGGCTGACACATAGAGACAGACAACCATTCACACTCACATTCACACCTACGGGCAATTTAGAGTCGCCAATTAACCTGCATGTCTTTGGACTGTAGGAGGAAGCTGGAGTACCCAGAGAAAACCCACGCTGACACGGGGAGAAAGTACGTACGTAGCCCCTCTGTACGTGCAAAGTACGTACAGAGGGGCTGCCTAGTAATATAGTATAGTATAGTATAATAGTATTTTTTTTTTAAATGATTTTGTCCCCCAAATAGTTGTTAATATGAAAAATGTATTTAATTTCTAACTAAAATGTCTTACTTTGTGTTAATTACACTGACACATTATAAGTAAAAAAAAAAAAAAAGTAGTTTCTAATAACTGTATCCCTCTTGCCGTTGTATTAGGCTAAGTATTAAGCCTATTAAGGATTTTGTCCCCATAAAATAATCCCCCAAATAGCTGTCAAAATCCCCAAAACAAAATATTTAAAATTATGATTTCAAAGGTCCATTTTGTTCTCTTTAGTGGTACCTATGGCAGTAAGTGGTTATTGCAGTGTGATTGTTGGCAGACTGCCTACATTTGGATCTTCAGTCCCATGTTTGGGTGGCTGTGACTCAGAGGTAGAGTGGGTTGTACAGTCATCGGAAGATCAGCAGTTTGATCACTGGCTCCTCCACTTCGCATGTCAAAGTAGGGCAAGATACTGAACCCCAAATTGCTCCCATTGGTGTGTGAGAGCTTACTGAGTAGCAGGTAGCACCTTGTATGGTAGCCTCTGCCATCAGTGTGTGAATGTATGTGTGAATGGGTGAATATGACGTAGTGTAAAAAGCGCTTTGAGTGATCTGAAGACTAGAAAGGCACTATACAAGTGCAGTGCATTTAGAGCACTGGTTATCTGGATTTAGTTATTTTGAAAAGTTTATATCTGGGTGATCCAATGTTGCTTTGAAAAACCTGCACACCAGTAAGATGGATTTGCTGATCCTGAACAACCAAACATGGGATTTCAAAATCCGGATCATTGTGATCTAGATTTCATTTTTTGAAAGTTTTGAACTACTGCACTGTAAAGATGAATCCTATGGTTTTAGTGATGCCTGATTTTCCCTCTGGCGACACCAGCAGGTTGACTTTATGGGATTTCAGAGAAATATTTCAGAAGGTTTGCCATGAAATTTGGTTCATACATCACTCTATCCCACAAGGTGGTCCCTTAACCTCTCATCAATCACCATAATAAGGTCAAACTCTAAATTTGTTCCATACTTCTATAAAAAAAATTCTGCAGAACTAACGACAGTCCCATCAGCTGTAATTTGGGTTTGGCGCTAATTAGCATATTTTAGCATGATGAACTAAGATGATGAACATGGTATTTACACCTGCTTAAAATCTGCATGTGGGCACCGTCATTGTGAGCCTGTTAGCATGCTAATGTTAGCACTTTGAATTAAGCTCCACGATGACTAAGCTCAGCTTCACAGAGCCGCAAGCATGGCTGTAGACTCTTAATATTGTTTGTAAACATATCAAAAATGTATAATTCATTACGTTTTATGAGTCAGATAATCATGCAGAGAGCTTAAAGCTTCCAGAATTGTTCACTATTGTAAATGGGACATCTTTCATGAACCGAATATAGGCTGAAATCCAATGGAAGAGGAACAAAACCGACATGTATTTATATGTAAATGTCCCCAATTATTACTTAAATGGGTCTCTATTCTAATTTTCCTGGATAGCGAATAAATTACAGTGAGAATATGATTACAGCAGCAGCAAAGAGATAATAGAAATGGAGAAGTAGGGCAGAAAAATGAGAACATGGATAGGTTCAAAAAAACTTATAAAAAGGGAATAGAGCCATTAGAGATGTATAACGGACAGTTTCAGGCCAGCAGTGGATACCCAGGGGAGTGGTCCCACAACATCAAATTTTAATGAGCGGATTTTCAAAACCTACAATGAAATGACAAGTTAAACCGTAACCTAGGAGACAGATGAACGGTGAAAATGTCGGCTTTCCAGCCCATCTCCAGGGTGTGTGGTGTTTTCCACTTCACTGGATGTCCTGTCCTCACCTCGCTACCTCCTTTTTCGTCTCTCCCTCTCGTCTGCTCTCCAGTGAATTACCTTCATCCTGTCCTCGCTCGTCACTTGTCAGCGTCGCCTCCTCGTCTGTGTGAAACACTTCCACTGGGGTTCAAATGATGAGGGAATTTGGGGGGCTGATATTTTTCAGAATTGTGTCAATGATAGCTAAAATTAAGTCTCAAAATTTTGTTTTTGTTCTAACAAAAAATGTTCTGCATTTTGATTGCAAACACTGTCCACTGTGTAAATGTTAGTTTGAATTTACACTAAATTCAATGTTGGGTTTCTTTCTCCAGCATGGAGCGGACCCCACCAAGAAGAACCGAGATGGGAACACACCTCTGGACTTAGTGAAGGACGGGGACACCGACATCCAGGACCTGCTGAGAGGAGACGCTGCGCTGCTCGATGCCGCTAAGAAAGGCTGCCTGGCTCGGGTGCAGAAATTATGTAGCCCCGACAACATAAACTGTCGGGATACGCAGGGACGCAACTCAACACCTCTGCACCTCGCAGGTAATAAACACGTAGAATCAACAAACGAAAAGCTGCTCACACAAAACACACACATTCAGCGGTCTTTTCAAAAAGCAAACACCTCCCTGATTATGTAAAGCTCACTTTGTAGACACATCACAATAAAGGATAAAGTCAGAGGTTTTTACTGTTTGGCTGAAGTTTGCAGGATTTAAGCGACTTTGAACATATTTGCTGGTGCCAGTCACTCTGGCTACAGCCTCCTGGGACTCTGGCTCAGTGCAGTGCCAAGAACAAGGCCATAAACACACCCAGACAGCTAAAGTCTTGAGGGCAAAAACACCTTGTTCACAGACAGGAGGGCTGGGACAACTTGGCAATTTATTAATGATTTTAGATAACACCAGTTTTGTTAACGCAGTAGCTGGTCATTTATTTTACTGGTGCGGTAAAATACTTTAATGAGGACACTTAAAACTAGATATCATCATGGAGTATGAGCTTCTAAGACTTAGTCCACAAATACACAGGTTCATTTTTAAGAATATATTTATTCAATTTGTCATGAACACAGAACAAAAGAGCTGGGAAATGACATGACAAAATGAGTAGCCAAAAATAAGAAAATAAAAATACTGGGTATTGTGTCCCCATCCATCCACAACCCTCGCCACCCCTTACAACACAAAGATACCATCGACAAAATAAATGGGCTATATAGACAAATAGCAAGGTTACAGGGAGACTGATTTCAAGGAAACGTACAGAGACTGGCCGATTTAGGAAACCCTTGTAATATGGAAGATGATGACATAGGTCCATTGGGAACACACTGCATTAAAAGATTGTGCCACAGCTTTAATTGTTAGAGCAGCATCTCTAATGCAAACACGGGTTATTTAAAAAGTCTCTCAACTGACAACTGTTATATAACTTATTGTGTTTAACATTAGCTAGGTATGTCAACCAAACTAGCCACTCAGCTAATCTTTGCTGTTTTTCTAAAGTCAGCTGCTAACGCTACCTAGCTAGTTGTCAAGTGTAGTAATATGCAGTACAATAACGAGATACAGCAATTATTTACCTGAAAAAAGCACATTATAGGCAGGTGCAGCATCAGAGTATATTTTTAATGTATTGGAGGTGATCTCATTTGTTTCCCTGGCTTGAAAAATATGCAGTTAACTCCTAAACTCAGAGCCAGTTTGATTTAAAAACAGGTTATGGGCGGTCGCCATTTTGAAAGTCCAAGATGGCCACCACAGAGACTTCGGGAAAAAAATGGAAACATTGGTTTTGGGGTTTGTCAGACACTAAACTTTCAACAAATGTATATTAGATATTGAACGAAGGTTGAAATCAGGACATAGTGAACCTGACTAAACAAAATCTCGCCCACACACAGTTTTAAAAAAATCTCCATGCAAACGAAAGACACAGTAAACACAATTGAAGCAAGCCAAACCAAACACTAACCTTAATGCGCTGGCCAATCACACAAAAAGAAGACCTTGAGCAGTGACCTCATTCTGACGCCTCGATTCCTTAATACAGTGGAAGAGTAAAGGTACATTTATGTGTAAACATGTAAAAAGTCCTGTTAGAAAGGTTAGAACCAGCACTGCTTTGATTACGTCAGCTATTGCACGAAATGTTGCCATATTTATGACGCCTCAAACCAAAAATTCAGTCCTCCCTGTCTACACATCAAATGGAGTTTCTGACCATATTCACCCTGTTTTACAAAAGGTCCTTTTTTAGTGACCTAAAATGCAGTTTGTGTGTGGATGAAAGGCTAAAATGCAGAGAAAAAGCTGTTTAAAATTACCCATTGAAGTGTGGACTCAGTCTTAATGTCACTGTAACTAAACGGAAACAACCAATCAGGACGGAGGAGTCGCTAACGTAGCTGTCAGTCATGTCAATAACAGCTTGTGAACTGCAGTCAGACTGCAGCACTGATCGAATATGAATGGAGATTCGGTTACAGCATTGCCAATTTCGTGCCTCAAACGTTTTCAGTTTTCACATATTTTAGTGTACTGTTTAGCTGTAAAATGAGACATTTGTGACCCAGCCATGTTGAAAACCAAGCACCGCACCTTGGCCCGAGCAAACTTTCTCATTTTAAAAATATGACAAAAATTTACTTTTTATAAAAGTTACCAGCTACAGTTTATAGGTCAGGGTAAAGCATGGTGTCTTAGTCTTAAACGAAGCCCTCCCCAGAAATTTTATGAATTAGGAATTTAACTGTGGTAGTCAGCGTTGAAGGTAAATTTCTCTGCCTGTCTCTTAAACTACTTTACCTGCAGTGTTTCCCCATTTAACCCTCCTCTGGTGGGGAAACTGATTTGCCTTTGTCTTGTCTTCATTTTTAGACTGTATTTATAAAGAGTTTCCTGGCCAGGCTAGCTTTTGTATGATAATAAAGTATATCTTAATTTGAAAATGCTTTGCGACAGGACTGGTACTTTTAAAAGTTACAGAACTGTTGAAAAACACTTTGAAGGTCTGCCTTTTTTTTCTCATAGATCTGACCACTTAGACACACACCCACGCACCCTCTGCCTCGATGTGCTCGCTTGTAAAAGGAAAAGATGATTATACGCTGTCACACTGCAGCTAATGTAGGCAGACATGTCCCTCTGTCTTTCCGTCTCTCATTACCTGACTGCATTTTGGTTTCTCCTCATTCTCTGTATTTATCTGCCTCTGTCTCCTCACCAACGTCTACCAATATGACCAGCAATACATACAAAACAAACCAACCCAACCCAACCCAACCCAACCCAACCCCCCCCCCCCCCCCCCCCCCCCCCCCCCCCCCCCCCCCCCCCCCCGCATCGCCCTCCAGCCGGCTATAACAACTTGGAGGTCGCAGAGTATCTTTTGGAACATGGAGCTGATGTGAACGCACAGGACAAAGGAGGGCTGATACCATTACACAATGCTGCTTCATATGGGGTAAGACACACACACACACACACACACATTCTTCAGTCACACTGCAGACTTGAGTTCAGTTTTGATATCTGCTCATGTTTATGTACAACCCCTATCCAAAAAGTATGAACTCTTCAACTCAGTGTTGAGACAAGGGTAAGTTCTGTATTTTTCAAACAGGACCCTGTTTCACCATGTTTTTGTGCCTCAGTGACTAATGAGAACATTTTTTTTAATTGGTCCAGTATTGATTATCGAGCACTGCAGAAAACAGGCTGCAACATAACCACTCGGGGCATGTTCACACCATCAATTGGCAGATGGAGGTTGTCAGGCAGAGGGCCATATTAGCCTCAGGCTGCAGTCTTGACACACATTGTTGTATATATATTATATATATTATAAGTTGACCGCTGCGAGGGTCCAAAGGACAGAGGGATGTCGTATGCTGTAGAGCCCTCTGAGGCAAATTGTGATTTGTGATATTGGACTTTATAAACAAAATTGAATTGTTGCAAAATGCAAAAATATGTTGGCTTCATATTCATCTGTATTTTCAGACAAGAAAAAAAAAAGCTTTCAAAAAATGATCAAACAATAATTTGGCGGCCCCCTGCAGTAACTCCGAGGACACCCTAGGGGTTCTGGACCCCCTGTTGAAGACCCAGACCCACAATTGATCAGCAATTTTGATAATGGAGTACTTTTTGATTTCTAAAACAAAAATACCGAACAGTCATCTGCTCCAGCTGCTGAAATTAAAAGAGTCGACAGGAAAGCAATCCAGGCACTGACAAATACCTGCAGTGGTCAAAACATGTTGGCTCTTTAATGACTTGGCCACTACGATAAAGACTAATTTAATATTTCCTCACAGTTTTTTCTATATATATTTTTTCGGAGTGCCTGGATTGCCTTCCTGTCGATCATGTTGTTTCCGGTTCTCCACAAGCACCCAACACAAGATTTTGATCTACGCTTGTATATACAGAGCAGCCAGTCATCTCTCTCTTCTGCTGAAATTAATATTAAGTTCTTTTCTTTGTAAATTACGACAGAATACCTTTGGGTTTTAAGACTAAGACTATTTTATTTAAGGATATTTTTTATTTTTTAGACTAAACAATAAATCAAAAAAAGGGTTTAAAGATTTAACCGACTATTTGAAATCATTTCATTTGTCTCGTCCACTGTAATGCTGCTAATTCTGCCTCAGTTATCTAAGGTGAACATCATTAAGTTTGCAAACTATTAAAATGGCGTTTATGAATTCACATTTGAGGATTTTAATCCACATCATGTGGGATGCACGCCACAGTTTCTGAACCTTGTAGTTTCTGTCTTCTTAGTGCTGGTGTGGGCTGAAAAACCTCACAGCTCAGTCAACGCCTGCAGATATTTTACATTGTGTTCATGTGGGACAGTAAGAAGTTGAACCATACTTATTTCCACCCTTTCCCCCCATATACAATATTATTACTATCCTTATTATTACTCCAAGGTTCTCTGCATGACATGCATGTATGGAGTACTTCCCTCATCTGGAGTCATCGGCTGTCTCTCAGCCACGTTGTACTTATAGCTTGACAGCATCCTGCTACTGAAAGAGTAATGAAACACATGTTTGAATAAAAACTTGATGAGCTCTGCATTTTGGAGACACACACACACACACATACACACACTCCAGCATCCCCCACTGATACTGCAAACAAGCTACATTGTGCTTGACGCTCAGACACGAGCTGGAGACAGACGATGAGGGAGAAGAACAGGAAGAGAAGGGAAGGAAAGACCTGCGGGAAAACAAGAATCATGATGGAGTTAATAATTCACACCGTTTATCTTCCAGAGAATCCCACATATTACATTTTTTTCTGATCACGATTTTTTTATAGCACTCATTCACAGGGCTTCGCACATTTGCTCTCGTTAAACGCTTTTATTGCTGTTGTCTCTCTTCCTCCTCCCACCACCTCCTCCTCCTCTTCTTCCTGCTCTCATTTTTCTAATCTCTCTCCTCTGATTTCCTTCACTCTCTCTTCCCTCTCCTTTCATCTTGTGTCTCTTTCTCTCTGTGTCTGTCACCACCTCCTCTTCCTTCCTCTTCTTCACCTCTGCCTCCTCCTCTCTGTCTAGCACGTGGACATAGCCGCCCTCCTGATCAAGTACAACACGTGCGTCAACGCCACGGACAAGTGGGCGTTCACGCCCCTCCACGAAGCGGCCCAGAAGGGGCGGACTCAGCTCTGCGCTCTGCTGTTGGCCCATGGAGCCGATCCCACCATGAAGAACCAGGAGGGACAGACGCCGCTGGACTTGGCAACGGTACGAGAGGCTTTCTTCGAAATGTTTCACAGTGTTCGTACTCATTTCTTCATATTAGGCGCCCTGTGCCTGTTATGAGTCAGCCTGTGGCAATATCATTAGCTCCAACTGATGTTTGACTGGTTATGGTTAACTATTCAGACAGATGAAGAAATTCAGAAGGTGGAAAAGGTAGCGTCCAAACTCCTTGCACCCTAATGAGGCTTCCTAATAAGCCTCCTAATAGGGTTTCTTGTTTTCCTGAGGGCACCACAGTTTGACAGTCTTCCCTACAGCTGACATTCACAGGAAGTGAAGAGCAACTTGTGATGTTGCTTAAATCACCCCACAGTTCTGCTCCAGGTTTGTGGGCTAATCTGTACAGATGACAAGAAACAAAAACTATACTAGTAGCTGTGTACCTGTTGACTATGAAGAACATGTTATTTAATATAGTAGATGCAGTGAAAACTGTTGTCAGGCCTCAACAAGGCACTGATGGGGCATGACTACAAGCAACCTGGGTAATTCAGCTGCTTTTTCAGAGTGTGTTGAACAGACGAGCAGACAACACACCATTTGATTCTAAATTGAAAATGTAAGATGTGTAGTATTCAGAGTCACATGTTTTAAGGTAACTTTTCAAAGCAGGGAACTTCCCCTTCTATTCGTTTAGTGGATGTTAAGTGGATTTCTGTTGTTGGTCTTGGCTGTTATTTCAAGGCTGTGCACACACAAAAAGATGCAAACACAAGCAACCTGGCAGTGAGACCATTCAGCTTTTGAGAGTGAGAAAAAAAAACTTTCCCTTGCAAATGAAAAGTTGGTTTCACAGTGAACAAAACGCACGTCTGTGTACATGTTGTCATTCTGTCTGGTTGTCTCTTGCAGGCCGATGACATCAGAGCATTGCTGATTGATGCCATGCCACCAGATGCCCTGCCAAGCTGTTTGAAACCCCAGGCCACTGTGGTGAGTGTCCACACCAAAGACTGCATATAAAGATGGACAAAGCGTCTCCATTTGCTCCCACTGTAGAAAAATATGAAGCTAAAATATGGTGGATACAGCCTCTGCCATCTTGTGCTAGTGACATCATTTGGAGCAAGAGTCTGAGCAGTAGCAACTTCTGCCAGTCACTAGCTGTGTCATTGATAGCAGGCACAACAATTAGCACACATAGCTGTCAATCATGACGTCAGACCCCCTTTTTATAGCACTGGATAACTTATTATAACAGAAAAATAAACAGAATAAACCAGAATAAACCAGAAGAGGTGAAATTGCCGAATGTAATAATAAGCTGAAGCCCATTGAGTGTGAGAGTTGAAGTGTCAGTTAAAGTTCAGGTCCAAATTTTCAGAAAATCAGCCAAAGAAAATGTAAATTCACCATCATCATCATCATCATCATCTTCATTTCCGTACTATGGTTATGGGAATGTTAGGAGTTGGTTCTTTGAGATAACTAATTAGCCAGTCAGAAGCCACTACAGAAGAGCACCAGTCAAACCTCAAATGAAGGAAAACAATGGATGTCTACTAATGGAGAGTACACTGGGAAATGAAAATAGAGAGTTTTGAACACTAATATTACAACTCTGGGCTCTTAGAGGAAATTTGGTAACAGCCCTGTGTGTGCACAGAAGTATGTTAAAAGCCACAGAGACAACAAAGAGAGCTTACAGCGGCCTGTGCAGTCATTTATTCACTAAATCTGTTTCCATTGCACTTAGTTGCATTTACCTTTTATCAATACACAAACTTTTCCACCTCTGCTAAGGGTAAAATCTTTTTTGAGATTTCTCTGAATGTTTGGTGTTTTCACCAAGGTTATATATGCAAATTGAAAATGCTCATCAAAAGAGGTGGATAGAAATGCACCTCCTGAAAGGAGTTGAGGCGTCAGTTTAAGTGTTAGAGCTTAAGGCCCTGAAGCTTTTTGCAAACAAAATTTGACTTATTAACCCTTTAAAACAAATCTCTCTTCCACTCTCAGGTAAGTGCAAGTGTGGTGAGTACAGGTGCAGCAGGGGGCGTGGTCATCTCTCCCTCTCCATCCCCGTCCTGCCTGTCTGCGGCCAGCAGCATAGACAACCTGACCACGCCCCTCAGTGATATCACTGTGGGCGGGGCCACTGGACCAGCAGATGGAGCGTCTGGGTCTGATCGGAAGGAAGGAGAAAGTACGTGCAGTAAGTTCTTAAAACAGAGGCCGGCTCTTATGAGGTGAAAACATGCACGATATGTGAACATGTGTAACAGTTGTGTAACCCTGCTGACGTCACTGTGTCTCTGCAGCTCTGCTCGACATGACCATCAACCAGTTCTTGAAGAGTCTGGGGTTGGAACACCTCCGAGACATCTTCCAGCGGGAACAGGTACACACACACACACACACACACACACACACACACAAAAAACACATTTTTAATGTGTCTTGGAGAAGACAAATTAAGAGGCAACAGCAACACAAGTGAGATATTTTTAGGTCGTATTTTCTGATGTAAATATCCAACTTTTTAATCATCTTTTTAGGCTCGTTGTTTATTTCTTTGCTTTATTCCATTTCACATCACTCAGGTCAGTTTATAGTCATTCTAGCATCATGACTCGAGGGATGACAGTGTCGTTCTGTTGGTCCACCACTCTGGTCCAGACTGAATTATCTGAACAACAGATGGATTGCCATAAAAATTTGTTCAGACATCCGTGTTCCCCTCAGGATGAACTGCAATAACTTCGGTGATCCCATAACTTTTTTATCAGTGGCCGTCAAATATTTAATTTGTCCAACACTTTTATGGCTCATTATAGCCAGGTTTATGGCTAAATACTTTGAAAACTAATGACATTCTCATCAGACTCAACTGCAATCTGTGTTTAGTGCTATTTAGCAAATGTTTGCATGTTAACATGCCAAATTAAGACAGCGTTTATGTTAAATATCACACCTGAGGCCTGTGCTACGAAGCCCAGGATCTGTTTTTGTTATCTGGCTTGACTAACTGTAACGTTGGCCGTCTGGATAACCAGTACTACGAAGCTGGTTACTAACTAGTTCAGTCAACTCTGGGTTTCCTATCCAGCCACAAGCGACATCAACTGTACCAGAAATGAAGGAGGCTGCTTCATATCATATGAGATGAAATGTTACCGAAAGTGTCTTCGACTACGAGACAGTAAAATGTCAATGACAGAAAAGCAGCCTAGTTAATGACTGATGAGGTCTATCTGACAGAAATGTGGCATTTATAATAAGGGGAGCCAGTTAACAGTGTGTGGATTATTTTACTAATAACATAGCTTTTTTTCGTACTTCTCACCACGCAGGTGTCTCATGTTATTTTTAGCTGCAGTGATGGAATCAGAGTGTAAAACAGCAACACTGTCACTGCGGACTAAGATAAACTTTGCATAAGTTAAAATGCTGCTAAAATCATGTGTTTAGTGTGTAAACAATCTCTCCATTTGGTAGAAGCTCTGTTTTAAAACTGAGGAAATAGAGCCCTGAAACAATTAAATGTTTCCATTGACCTTTAACAATATATAGGTCAGTGGAAACATTTAATTGTAACCTATACCCTATAGCAATATATAGGTTTTGTTTTTTTTATCTGAGACTCCGACTTTCATCCTTGGATACTTTTTTCTTCACTGATCTGATTGGTCAGATGTCAGGGTGTTGACTGGTATGAGCTGATACTCTGCTCTGGAGCAGGTTATGTTCAGCATCAGTTACCACGGTGATTTATCCTGGTAAAAAGAGAACCAGGTTCGTAGTACTGAAAACCCAGAGTTAACCCTGAAGTTACCTCGCTAACTCCAAATCCTGCTTCATAGTACAGGCCTCTGCTTAGGAGCATGTTTGCATTGTCACTGTGAAGATGTTAGCATTAGCATTTAGCTCAAAGCTCCACTGTGCCTAAGTACAGCCTCACAGAGCCATGAGCATGGGTGTAGACTCTCATGCTCTCAGACTCTCTCAGCCTTACACCAAATGACTTCTCAAGCAATTTCATTGTCACAGACAAATTTCTAATGTTGGAACAAAAGTTGTGGCGTGCTCCTGTTATCTCGGTCATTTGGTGTAAGGTAGTCATGAAAGTAATTCTGAGCTCTCTTAAGTCAGTCTTTATCTCATCTTGACGTTCTGATAAAATTAAACAAGTTCATAGTCTTGGCTCACACAGATAGTGAAGTTCAATGACGTGAACATTTTCAACAACCAATAGCTACACTCTCCTGCACCAAACAGGAAGCAGCAAACTGGGTAGGCAGTAAACATGGAAGGGACAAGAGGAGGCACAAGAAAGTGAAGAAGTCTTGGTTTTCTTGTTCTGTGGAAAAGAAGGAGAAACTGGTGGAGTTGTGGAGTGAACAAAAGCCTGTGTTTAATTCAGTGTGTACGCCCTGCACCAAGACGCTCTTATTTTGGCGAGAAATCTTCATTTTTGAAACAGGTCGCCTCTCATTTTCCACGGTCTCCTTCCACTAAAACAACGCCCCTAACCAACAAACCGACAAAATCCAAAATGTAAATTTTGTACACAAATACAGTTTATCTTCATGGATTCAATTGATGCCACATTGAGAATACGACCAGTTTCAGCTTGTGTTTCTCGCGTTCTGTGTTTTTACAGACACCTCAGAAACCGTTGAGATGTCACATTTCTTAAATCTTGAAAAGAAATCTAGTTATACTGTTTCAAATAGTGACCCTGCAAGACCCCCAGTCTTTGAAAAAATCTTGTGTGACTGAGAACTCCCATTGTCCTCAGATGTGAGAGAGTGTCAGACTTTAGTCTTTTCAAAGTCTTTTCAAAGTCTTCCAGTGTATGCTAGGCATTTTATAAATGTTAACGTGCAATAAAAGAACAATAGGGAGAGGCATGCAGAGAGAGTTTGACAGACAGAAAGAGGTGGTGATGTCGGTGGAGCAACGGAGACAGAAGAGGGAATACAGATGGACGGAGTGAGAGACCAAGGAAGAAAAATAAAGGGAGAGAAGCTCGAGGAGAATGATGTAGAAAATAGACAGAGAGACGAGGAGACGGAAGAGGAGACAGATGGGGTGACAGAAAGAGGAGAAAACAGACGGACAGAAATAGAAAGTGAAATTGAAAGGTGACAGCGGGCAAGAGGCTAAGCCTAGAAGGCAGTGTGGGAGCAATACGGAGGATATGTGTGTTTGTGTGTTAATCTATTCTCGACTCCCCTAAAGGTATAACAAGCCGTCATTAATATTCAGACAAAGAGTGAGATGGAGGTGGGAGTCAGCTTGGTGTTAATGGAAAAGTATATATTTATTTCAGAATCCCATGACTCAGAGTCCTAACGAAGAGACATGCATAACAATCTGATTTTACATCAGTCAGTTTCATATATTTGATTAATATAAACCATACTTTTACTCATTATGTGTGAATTACAATATTGTGTTAAAAGTTAAACCAAGAACCCGACTTATCAACTTTCTGCTGTGTGAATCCTCCCACTGATCCCCTCTGTAAAGCCCCACTGCTGATTTGTTTGTTGTTGTAAAAGAGGATTAGCGGAAAACCTTTGTCAACATAAAGTTTGATCGAACAGTTTATGCAAAAAAAGTACGGGGATTGTCCCTTATTACTGTCAAGTTTTAAGATTTATGTGCAGAAAGAATGCAATAATCTTACAAGGTGCAAGGAATTAGCAGAAGGAAATAGAAGAAGTTATTTAAGCCCCTTACACACTGGACAAAACACCCGTTAACATCCAATAACATCTGGCTTTCTTACTTTTAGTGGGAAAGGTTACAGTCAGCATTCATTCCCAGGACAAATGACTCTGCAGTAGTCACTGTGGTTTATCAGCTCCAGCTCTGATCGACAGTGATGGAAACATGACACCCAGGTGGACATGCTCATTTTTTTCCTTCTCTGCGACTTTTTGTCATCTCAGCCAAAAATTCAGTCCGTCTCCGTCCGAGCAGCGCTCAGATATTGTTACAAATTAGTCAACACCAAGTTTTAAAGAGAGACTGAATTAGAAACAAAAGTAACCAACATATTTTCGCTGGCCTTCATGCTGCTGTCTGTTCACCAAAACGTGTTTCATGCTTCTGGCAGTCGGCGTGGTCAGCACAGTACAGACAGCGATATTGTGCAGTCGTGGCCTAGGCAATGGAGGGTCTGAGTGCTGCACACCACTAAGATTTCTCAACAACACACAATGCAGACAGGGTTACACAGACTGGGTTGCAGTGACTGGCTAGCTGCAATACCTGGAAGTGCATGTACCTCGATTCAAGTCCTATAGCAAGTCCAGAAATATAAGACAGAGCTCAGTTTTTGCAGCTGCTCTGACCACAATTAGTATGAAAGACCAGATATTTGGAAGAACCGTACATGCCATCTGCAAGAAGCATGAAACAGGTGTAACCTTGGTTTCCGACACAGTCGTGACATTGAACATGACACACCAGGAATAAAAAAGAGCCATACTCACTTTAGTTGTTCTTTTATCTCTGACATGTATTAGGATGTTACATACCTTGACATGTTTCAGCGGAAACTTCCGCCTTCCTCAGAAGTATCACTTGGTGGTGGTTGTGACGCGTCTTTATCAGCTGATCTGTCAATTAAATGATGTTAGGGAGGCGTGACCATCCTGTCAGTTTTGACAGGACGATCACACCACCTGCTGTTGACAGATCAGCTGATAAAGACGCATCACAACCACCACCAAGTGACACTTCTGAGGAAGGCGGAAGTTTCCGCCCAAACATGTCAAGGTATGTAACATCCTAATACATGTCGGAGATAAAGAACTGAAGTGATTATCAGAAACTGAAGACATAATTAACACCACTGAAATAGAGAGCCATACTCATCTACTGGCAATGGAAAAGAAGTCTATTGCCTGTTTTTAGCAGGTTTTCCCCATAGACTGTATTAGAAAATGGACGTAACTACTGTGACGTCACCCATCGGTTTGTGGACTCCAGTTTTGAAGCCTCAAGTTCGGCATTTCAGCCATCGACATCTTGTTTTTTTGGAGCCAGAAGTGACGGTGTTTGAATGAGAGGGTGGAACTGTGGAGGAGCGAGGAATGGATCTGTCTCATAGACTGTAGCACTTCTATAGAAAGCCTGTCACTCAAGCGGCCATGCTGTTAATTAAGCGTAACTTTAAGCCTCAACAAAAATGTAAACGGGTGAGTTATATTAAAAAAAAAATCACCCCGTACATTTGTCATGAAGGGGGAAGTTTGCTCGAGAGATCAAAACTGTTGTTGTTCCAGGCTGTAAACATGTTTATTTCTGCTGTAAAGTTGGGCATTTTAACATGGGTGTCAATGGGGAATAACTTGCTCTTGGAGCCACCCTCAAGTGGCCATTAGAGGAACTGCAGTTGTTGGCACTTAAGCATTGGCCTCATTTTTCAGCCCTTGTAGGTTGCTGCTTTGTTTCCCTGCATTAAAAAACTGCATGTAATTGCTAATTTTGGTGGGAAAAGAATTTTAGTCGGATGTTCCAGATGGCAAATTGCTCAGATGCTGCTGCTTCACCGCTGTGATGAAACTGTAAAATGGCAGCTTGAAGCGTCAGCCAGTGGTGAGAACCTGGCTGTTGTGTAACTTTCATTAGTTTTAGGTGATTACTTCAAATTGGGCGTGACAGACTGTTTTGCCCTGTTAGAGAGATCATACAGGCCTCTGCACAAGTATAAAAATAAGCCGTAGCTTTCATCTCTTTGCTGTGGTTTCTGAAATGAAACCGGAGTTCTTGTATTCATTTCTGGTGCCAGACAAATTTCCAGTTTCAGCTGTGCTTATTGCTGCCTGGTGCTTTTCTCACTGAACTCCCAGCAGAGTATTTCAGTCTATGATGAGTTACACCTGTAGCAGTGATCACAGCATCACAGAGCAAAGTAGGTAAAGGTTACTGCTTAAAAAGCGGAGTTATCTCTGCCTCCAGCATGAATCTCATCTCCGCTTTCCCTGGAAAAAACTCGCAAACTTCACCATCAGCAATTTGCATATCAATGGCTTGATTACTGCCATTCATTCATTGACCTTTTCTTCATGCTGCTTCCGTCTCTCTCTTGAATATTTGTCAGACCCATTGTCTCTGCAATGTGTCTTAGATCACTGAACTCTGTATTTATTTTTGGCTGTTTTTAGACTTGCTGTTGTCACCATTTAAGTGTATATATATTTTCTGTGGTTCAAGTTAGTTAACAAGTATATAAGTAGATGTATGGATAGAATGGTTAATGTTTAATATAATGATTAGGAAATGTTATTTTCCGAGAAGTTTACATTGTTTTGGCAACCATAAGAGAGACTTAGGTGTCTTATTTGTTGTTTCCGGGCAGATTTCTCTGGATGTGCTGGCAGACATGGGTCACGAGGAGCTGAAAGAGATCGGCATCAACGCTTACGGTCACAGACACAAACTCATCAAGGGCATCGAGAGGCTGCTGGGAGGCCAGCAAGGTCAGGAAACACACAGACACACACACATTTATACGAGGGCACAAAACTGTTCTATATCATTTCCTCTATCATTTACTTATTTGACTCACGACCATTTCACATGGTATGGAGTACAAACATTGTGGCTAAAGTACAGCCACTGTTACTTAAACAAAGGAAGGACGTTCTTCAAAAAAGCACCTAGTTTACAAATTACTTTTAGCTTATCTGATTGTAAGAACAAAATTAATTTAAACATAGATGGATGGTTTAATTAATAATTTGGCAAATAGCTTTCTCTGTAAGTCATTAAGCTTACATTCTGACATTCAAACAAAATATGATACTCATCTCCTACACGATTATCATCACAGAGGCTGCACATCCTCTGGTTTCTGTCCAGACTGACTGTAATGAAATGAATGTTTAATCTTAAAAGTACTGTTTTCTAGTAAATCTGCTTCCGATCAGTTTAGAAACACTCAAATGTTGAATTACGTCTTTACATCAGACTCTTGAGTTATATCTGAATATATCTGTAAGTCATGAGAAAGAAAATTCAGTGTCGTCATTTACCTTTTGTGTGATTCACCGTGTCCTGACTCACAAAATGTGTGTTTGTAGGTGCAAACCCATACCTGACGTTCCACTGCTCCAGCCAGGGCACCGTGCTGATTGACCTGGTGCCAGACGACAAGGAGTTCCAGTCTGTGGAGGAGGAGGTATGCAAACACTCTTTTACACACACTCATTCAAATTGCATACTTTTTTTTTTTTTTTACTTAAAGTATGTACTACTGTATGGAGCAAGCATATGATTGACCTTTAGCTAAACCCCACCCCTTTGTGATGGTCCAACAAGCTGTTAGAGTAAGCATGGAGCCCACACTGTAACTAACTGCACTCCCTGATGACATATTATTCCAGAGAGAAGCAGACAGAGGGGTCTACAGTCTGTGTTTGAAGGATATATCCAGGATGTCAAACTGACTCAGCAGCAACAACAGGTTAAAAAGACAAAGATAGTTAGAAGCTAAAGCCGAACTATAGGCTACAGATCACAGTGTAAAAGTGAACCACCACATCACTGCTGATCGCCACACAAGACAATGAATATAAAGGGAAACTTTGCTGATATTGAACCAGCTGTGTGGCATCGCAGTGTGTGCAGATGAACTGTGTTTGGCCTCACCCCCATGCCGCTGCCAGCACCTGGGCCTCTACTGCAGGACAACAATGTTCATCTGCGCACAAGGCAATGCCACACAGCTGGTTCAATATCAGCAAAGATTGGCTTGCATACTAAAAAATGCAACAAGATGCAGTAAAACATCACCCTACTGTGTATTGGGTATTGAGATACTAAATCTTTTTGTGACACATTATATAGTATGGGAATTGGAATGCACCATATGTTCAGGTACATAGTGGTTCTCTTTTTTTTAACCTGGTTGAATGATTTAATGACTCTCTCTCGCAGGGTTATACATTTTTGACATGTGCATATTGTCCATCATTAGTAATTTCATGAGTAATATCTGGCAAAAGAGACACCACACACTGACACCACAGTACAGCAACCCTCTGCACAGGAGACATATCAGTGCCGCTGCTGCGCTGAATATATTTTCTCCTAAATGAAAGCAGTAAGTGAAACAGACAGCAGATATCAGTCTGAATGGATTTAAAATTAATGAGGACCGTCAGATGTTAACACAAATTTAACAGGTAATTTAAACTGTAATTTTTACTCGGGAACTTGAAAAATGACTGACATGAGATCTCTCCAGACGGTGTCTAATACCAGGTTAAGTGCTGCTGCCTATTCACAGCGGTATTTTATAGTCATCAGTAATGTCAGTCATTAGGGTGATAACTAATTTTATGAAAGGAGGTAATCACTTCACCCACATCATAGAAAACTTTATTCAAAAGGCTCAAGCAGCTTCTGCACTATTTCACTTTAGATTCTTTTTGTGAGTGGAGTCGTCCTTTTCACTGCTGATGCCACGCTTTTTCAGCTGCACTAAATTTCCCACGGGCATTATTTAGGTATCTGCTGTGATTGACTGAGTTGCTGCTCTACTTCATCGCTGACTATATGGCTCTGTGAGCTATACTCAGTTGCCAGTTTATTAGGGACACCTAACTAAAACTAAGGCAGGCTAATAAAACAGCCCTGCAATAAATCCTACCTTCATTAAGGTTATAATGTGTTTGTCCAAACAAATTTATGTCACTGAGTGTAGACTAAAAACACAAAAACAATTCTTTGTGATGCCAAACCATTCACACTCCCAACTTGTCAAGACTGACGCTTGGTCAGTGGTCCTCGGCCTCAGCAACCAACTCACCAAGGCAACTTTTAGCGTCTGTAAGAGACACACTTGTATCTTTATTCTTTGAGCAATGGCAGTAGTATAAAGATTAACAGAGTCTGGAAAGGCTGGGGGCGAGGGAGGTGGATTGGTCAAACAAACACAGGACTTCTACTAAGGAGACTGCTATTGATGTCCCTTGTGGAACCAAATATAACCTTAAGTTGTTTGAAGGATGTAGCGTAGTATGCCAAGTAACATTCGTCACATTATTTTAGCAAGAGGCGTACTTGCTTTTACTCAAACCATCTGTTTTCTAAACCTAACCATGTACTTCTGTGACCTGTTGCACAAAACACCCTAAGTTTTCTCTAAAAGTATGACACATAAGGCTTTCTCCTTAGCTGATGGACATACACAGTTGCACAGAATCCCTTAAAAAGGTTTCCTTGGTTAAGGAAAAACTAATATACTCTGTTGAAAGAAGTTTTTATAGCAGTAGAAAGAAATTGTTTGTTTGGACTCACAATTGTGATGCCTGTGATAGTCTCACAAAGTTGGCTTATAGTTAGATTGTGAAAAAATGGCAGAGGAAAAGAAGACAAGAAAACCATGTTGGTCAGAGGAGGAAAAGATTACACTTCTAGAGGAATGCAATCATAGAAAGTACATACTACAAAGTGAATTTGATCCCCAAATACCGGAAAACAGAAAACGACAGTAGGAATAAATTGCAACGAAAATTAATTCAGTCAAATCTAAAGTGTAAAATCAAAGGCGTATCTATCTGGTTCTCCTGGTCGCAGAACACTGTTCACGGGTTGTGTTCGTTTCTTTTTTTTCATTTATCACCATAAACTCGGTCACATTGCATTTAAAATAGAGTCAGAGGTACCTTAAGTTTTTCTTTACCTTGCTTTGGTTGCTAAGGTCTTTTGTGGAATGGTCTAGGGATTCCTTATGTATAAGACAAAGACAAGGATAAAACCATGAATACTTAAGTGAACATTTTAAGGAAATCTCAAGGAGAAGCCTTAAGGGTGCTTTGTGCAGCTGATTTTATTTTGAGGAAACCTTAACTAGGACTTTAGGGGAAATCTTAACTTAAGGTGTTTTGTGCAACCAGCCCCTGTTGCCTTAACCTAAGGAAGTTCATTTAGAAACACGACTGCACGCATTAAACGAGTGCAAACCTAAAATTTCCTTTTAACACAGAAGTTTCTTTGGAAAAGACACTATGCATGTAATCAGTGGAAATTAAAATGTTGTCCCCAAATGTCTAAAAGTGATGCTCAAGGGGTACCTAAAGCGTCATAGTTTGACCTTTAGGACACTGACTAAGCGTCACTATCTGATGCTTGAGAATGTGTTGTTGGTGCTGGTGAAATGTTTGTGCAGATCAACACCTCTCTGACAGAGTTCAAACAAACCTGAACAGGAATGCTGCTTCACGCTCAATTAGTTTAAACTATGTGTATCTAATAAACTGGCAACTGAGCGTACTTGTGTAGTCAGCTGAAACACCTGACATCATTCTTTTTGGTATTAAGAATATAATAGTTAACAGAGAATCCAGCAGGTACAGTACGCTAAGTCTGAATTGTTAATGGAGGTGGCTGTTGGACAGCACTCTGAATAAGTAAACACTCCTGGGCTGCTGAGTTAAAACATCTCATCACTAGGTCCCCTAACGCCGTCCAGAGAGCTGTATGAATCACATCTTATGTTATTCACGATATATGGACGCTGCATTTCATTAGCATCTTTTATCCCACACATTCTGCATTTTAACCTTCAAAGGCTTTGCATAAGTGCGATTTAGATCGTCTCCTGTCTGTTTATTTCCTCCGCAGCTACAGAGCACTATCCGAGAACACCGCGATGGAGGCAACGCAGGTGGAGTGTTCAGCCGGTACAACATCATAAAGGTGTGTGCTCACAACTCACAACACACACAGGGACCAGTTTTCTGTGTTTATGTTCACAAAGGAGGAGTTAATCAATTTAAAATTTGGTGTCTCGTTTGACGTTCACAAATACATTTTAATATTAATTTACATGTCATCCCTTCCTCTGTTCCTCCTCTCTTCCTTTGACTGCAGATTCAGAAGGTGGTGAATAAGAAGCTACGGGAGAGATACGCACACAGACAAAAGGAAATAGCAGACGAGAATCACAACCATCACAACGAGCGAATGCTTTTTCACGGTAACTTCATTCAGTTTAAATCCATTTAATTGTGCTTAATTCTTAAAGCTGTTGAGCTGCTATGGAATATGGTGACGCAATCAAAGGTCAGTATAGAGAGCCATGATGTCAAGTTGATGTCTGGTGTGTACAAAAAATGTTGTTGCACATTTGCAGTACATTGTGAGCAAAGTTCCACACTAGCTCAGAGGGCTCGTTTACTATATCACGTGAATGTCGCCATCACCCTGAATGTCCTGCCGAAGCGAACACAAACAAAGATGTGTCGGGAGGTTCTCCAAGTGCCCATGAAGATACACGTCCACACAGGAAGTTGCCCTGTCCCCACAATGGAGATCTGCAGGCAGCATCTATTGCATGTTGTTGCGATGTGATAGCCTCAATCTGAATGTGTCCTTTCTCCTGCCAGGTTCTCCCTTCATCAACGCCATCATCCACAAGGGCTTTGACGAGCGACATGCCTACATCGGCGGCATGTTCGGCGCCGGGATCTATTTCGCCGAGAACTCATCTAAAAGCAACCAGTATGTTTATGGGATTGGTGGAGGCACAGGATGTCCCACCCACAAAGACCGCTCCTGCTACGTGTGCCACAGGTGAGATGTCTGTACCTTATTACATTTATAGTTTTACAAACATGGCATGTTCCTCTCTTCCTATTTGTTCCAATAACTCACTTCTTGTGGAAACTAAGTGCTGTTTCTTATCAGGATTTGATTATGTAATTTGTTCACACTGCTAAAGTGGCAACAGTTAGCTCAAAGATGCTGCTTTGTGCATTCAATCCAGCTGATTTTACATGTGCTTTTGACTCTATTGTCCCACAATGCATTGCACAAAGGAGGAGAAGGGAACATTTTGCTTCCCTTATTTACTTGGCAGTAGTATTCCAAAGCCGAGATGAGGCTCATCTCAGTTGTGATTGTATTCAGGACATGATGTTTACATACAACAGAGAGAAATTGAGTTATTCAAATCCCTGCATAAATGATAACTAGTATCCTGGATAATGGTTACTGCTGTCTCTTAACGTAGGCGACCAGCCTACACTTCACATATACACCACTACTCAACAGCTTTACTGCTAATTTCTCCTCTGCTATAATCGCCAACGTCTCTGACCTTGTCCACTGTCACTCTCTCGATCACACACTTGCTACACACTGAGCTGTTCCTGAAAGGAGCTACGCTACTCTGATGACACTGTCCTCCACTCTGAGCAGTGTCAGCGTGTCACTGTCACTACTAGTGTTGTCAGAAATATCGATTTATTTATACATAGATTCTGAATATTTAAAACCATTTCAATACTCATTTTCCGCAGTATTGATACACCAGTACCAGCTACACTTTCTCTCATAGTTTACTACAGTCATTCTGCTGTTCTCTGCTACTAACTTAAAAAAGTCTTTTTTGTCATGTTACAGCCTCATTATATTCATCGTTTAATAACATTTTTTAAATTTGTTTCCTCTTAACGTCAGTTTTCCCTGTGGTATCAAATATTGTGACAACACTAGTCATTACCATCACATAGGAAAAGGAGCAGAACATGTGCAGCCAAAAGATAAAAGTCAGTTTCAGTTTATGTCACTTGGCAGAGGCCGCGCCTGCAGAGATAGTCGCCAGTGCCCAAAAAACAGGATAAGATGTACACATGCAGCTGTACTTCTAGTTTCCTCTGGAGTAGTAGCATATTCAGGTTTCTAATGAACATGATGAGGTTTTATCTGGGTTTCTGAAAATGGGACATGGTGTTTACACGCTCAAACACATGAACGGATACTATAAAAACCCAATCATAAACGGGTTGTTGATGTCCATGTAGACACACTCATTGACGTCTTATGGAGCTTGTATCATCTCATGTTGGTGCAAAGCAGTAAAACATTGATTTTTTGTGTGCCAATTGCAAAAACAATATGATATGAAGATAAGAATATAGTATATACTGTCATAATGCAGTATGGAATTGAGACACACAGAGATTACTGCAGGAAGCAAAATCGAGGTGCAGAATTAAACTTAGTTGATGTTAATTTACGGGCAGCACGGTGGTGCAGTGGTTGGCATTGTCGCCTCACAGCACGAGGGTTCGTGGTTCAAACTCATGGGGTGGGGTGTTGGAACCTTGGGGTGGAGGAGCCCTTCTCTGTGGAGTTTGCATGTTCTCCCCATGTCAGCGTGGGTTTCCTGAGGGTACTCCGGTTTCCTCCCACAGTCCAAAGACATGCAGGTGAGATTAACTGGTGATTTGAAATTGCCCGTCGGTGTGAATGTAGCCCTGTGATAGTCTGGTGACCTGTCCAGGGCCTAGCTTGCCTCTCGCCCAGTGTCAGCTGGGATAGGCTCCAACCCCCCCCCCCCCCCCCCCCCCCCCCCGCAACCCCTAACAGGATAAGTGCCTTAGGAAAATGAATGAATGAAATTAACGTATTGTAACATATTACTGAGTAAAACTGTACAAATCCAACCAATATTAATAATATGACCTCATTGTTGACAGCATTGTTCTGTGGGTTTGCATTTCAGGCAGATGCTGTTCTGCAGAGTGACGCTGGGTAAGTCGTTTCTTCAGTTTAGTGCAATGAAAATGGCCCACGCCCCCCCGGGACACCACTCGGTTATAGGACGACCCAGTGTCAACGGACTGGCGTATGCAGAGTATGTCATCTACAGAGGGGAGCAGGTCAGTACACAAACACATCTTCATGAATGTAAAACATTGTGACTCATCATTTTGTCTACAAAGAGTTCAAGGTGACATCTTCAAATAGCGTCAGTTTAAATCCAATGTTCAGTTTATAAGACAATAAAACAGAAAATCAGCAAATTCTGATGTTTGAAAGAAATGACGATTAACGATTAGCATTTTGAATTTATTTTCTGTTCTATTACTGTACATATGTACGAGTTCAGCTCCAGAAATAACCCTAATATTTAGTTTTACTTTTGTGCTCTTTGTCCACAGGCTTACCCAGAATACTTGATCACCTACCAGATTGTGAAGCCGGAGAGTCTGGCCACGCCTGCTGCCCCCTCCGAGCAGAAGTCCTAAAATGCAATCACAGCTGGTGCCGCAGAAGGCCAGACCGCAACGGACTAGAGTCACTCTGTAAGAGGACTGCAACTGAACTAGAGGGTGTTTCAAACCTCAGCCCAAAATTAAAGTCTCCAGAGTTGAACTTGAGGTGGGCAAGGTGACGTTTCGACCAGGCAGTAGTCAGACAACCCTCGGAAAACAGGCCTGGATGTGTCTAAAAGGAGAAGAGGAGGAGGAGGATGAGTCTCGGGGTGTGATACATGCTCGGTCCAAAGCAGCGGGCAGCAAAATCTATCAGCTTCTTTAATTAATTGGGTCTAATTTTGCAGGAGGAAATGCAATGGGTTTGATCAACATTTTCTGGAAGTGTACCAGTAAGCTGTTTTTTAAATTTGCAGGCCTTTGGCTTTATCCTGAAAACAATTAAGGAAGCAATTACAACAGGACATGGTCCAAAGCAAAACAAACATCCCTGATTTTGCACCTTTGCGCGCTGCTCATGTAATCTACCCCCGGTTTTTAATGTGTTGTTTTGATATTGTGTCCTCTTTTGGCTTTGTGCATCATCCGCAGCAACAAAACAACACCCCGAGGCCACTTCCAGAAACAGCGATTGTCGTGCTGAGAGAAGAGAAATCCAGTTCATTTTATGTTACAGCTCGCCACGTTTTCACCAGTGAGGCTCATGTAAACAGGACACACATCCCTCTGTGTTCTCTCACATCTCGTCTGCTGTAAACAAAGACAAAATTATGAAACAAGTGTGAGCAGGGAGAAGTAGAAGAGATTACAGCGGACAAATACCCAGAAGTCAATAAGCAGAAAAAACAAACAGGAGACCACAATGCACTGCTGCTGAAGTGCCGGCTGCAGACTTTCCACTGCAATCCATACTGGGACCATCTTCTACACCTGCCAGTCAGACCAGACAGTTCATGTCAGAAGCCAGCAAAATGTCAAATCCATAAAACTCGCTTTCTGGTTTACATGGCCAGAAAATCTGAATGTTGGGCAGAGCTGAGTTGTGACAAGCAAGCAGCAACCTGAGACGGCTTTCTAACAGGGTAACATGCCCTTAACTCACCAAATTGGACATTCTCAAGAACAATTACAACTGACTTTGTATTATTGAGAAAATTTACTTTCCCAAATGATCATCCTCGTTTTGTAGTCAGTATCTGGTGGTCATATTATGAACTACATCTACATGGTGGTTGCTGCTTGTTTTAACCCAGCTCGGGACGACTACAAGACACCAGACTGTCACACACTTGTATTCCAGTTCACTCAAAGCTGCACTTGGCAACTCAGACTACTACAAACACAGATCAGAGAGTCTGAACTTCAGTACTGAGAAATCTTGTCAGGTGATGTCACTAAACCACACACAGCAAGCTTACTGGGCCTCATTCACCACTCTTTAATTTTTACTTAAATTTGCTCTTAAGAAAAGTTGACATCAGATTGATTGCATGTTCTTAAACCACAAAATTGTGCGCACTTGTGTTTTTATAAGGATGAATCCCCTTGTTCTTGTACACCAGACATGCGTGCCAGTTGACCCTGATTAGCAGGTAAATGTCCTGCCAATCCACATTTAAAGGGCATGACCCTGCAGGGCCGTGTGCACACTAAGGGTGGGAATCACTAGAGGCACCACGATACGATATCATCACGATGCAGAAGTACGATACAAGATTATTGCGATTTTAAACGTGTTATGATATGCTGAGTATTGCGATATATTATCTTTTTTCAGTGGCAAATTATGTCCTCAAAAAGGACTTTGTTGTCATCAACAGTTTTATCAAATAAAATTAAGTGTAAATTTTATTTGATAAGTGTAAAATTAGTCTTTTCATCTCACTTAAGTCATTTTATTGCAGCAAAATGTATCTAGCGGACTGAGTTAGCTGCCAAAAAAATTGTTTTTTTTTTTGTAATAATAATAATATATATAATAAAAAAATATTGATAAATGGTGTCTGTGTAATGATACCATATTGCCACACAAAAATATCGCAATAATATGCTGTATCGATATCTTCTCCCACCCCTGGTGCACACACAGAAACTGAAAAGTTTGGTGAAGTTAAGAGTGTCTGAATGAAAGTCTAAAGAGGGTGGAGCACTGGACTCCACACGTCAAAAATAAAATGTAGAGGTTCCTCTGCAGGAAGTGAACGCCAAACAAGTCATATAGCGTCAGAAGTGCATATAAAAACAGAAAGCATCACAAAGTGCTTCATACAATAAAAATAATAGACCATTAAGAGCTTTATAAACCAATAAAAGGATCTTAAAATCAATTCCGAAGCACACAGGAAGCTAATGCAGAGACGTTAAATTTGGTGTAATGTGTGCTCTCTTTCCTCATCAGCACACGTGTAGCTGAGTTTTGTAGTAACTGTAACTGAGCAATGTCTTTCTTAGGAAGACCAGAAAGAAGAGCATTACAGTAGTCAATTCTGCAGGTGATGAAAGCATGCATTAGTGTCTCTGTATTGGCTTGAGAGAGAAATGGTCACACTCTGGCAATGTTCTTAAGATGATAAAATCCAGTTTTGGTTATACTTCTAGTATGTGGTTCAAAACTGAGATTTGAATCAAAGATAAGTGTTAGAATTTTTCACTTGTTGACAGGCTTGTAGTGCCAGTTCTTGTGTTGAGTTTCTCTCTCTGAGCTTCAGGACCAATAACTAAGACCTCGGTTTTGTCCTGGTTGAGATGAAGAAAGTTTTCTGCCATCCAGGGCTTGATAACTAAAATACACCCAAAAAAAATTAATGGGATGCTATTATTCATTCAGTGAATGCTGTATCCAGAGAACGGTGCACAACTGATGAAGAAAAAACAACAACAAAAAAAAGGATCCATTACAAATCTGAGGCCAAAAGAATAAATAGTGTAATCAATCACTAAATACTGGATGACTTGGTTCCAGTTCAATGTTTTTAATGTTTAATGTTTAGTGTTTATTTCTTAAGATATAATAAAAGTGTTACTGTAATTTAAATTCTGCATTATTATACAACTGTAGAATTGAAAAAAAGCACTCACATGTGTAATTGTGCTCCTTAGTGTGTGTGAGAACAATTCCAAAGTAAGAAATAAATCGGTAAATGTCAAACTGCGTTTAAAGAAAGTACATCTTGGTGAATGAGGCCCTTTATGTTTTCAAAGCCAGCCAGTACCCCAAAATAGGGAGCACTTGCTGTCTGCTGTGATAAAGTTTTGTCACATCACCTGGTTTGGTGTGAGAAGTGACTGTTCATAACACAAGACGAAATATATGGAAAAAAAGTTGAACTTTTCAGAGTTTTGATTGGGGAAAAAAAGAAGTTATTCTCAGTGTCAGTTGCAGCATAACATCTATATAACATCTCATTCTGCTACACATGTGCCAGTCATCAACACTTACATCTGGGGCATCTTTTTCTTCTGTGTTTTAATGTCAGACCTTCGCATATTCTCCCTGATGTTGTTGTTTACACGAACCTGCTGCCTTCTACCTTCTCTCCTCTCTACCTGCAACTGTTGATGCCCCCTAGTGGTGCAACAGAGGCATTGCTGGCCTGCAGTGTTAAGTTGAGATTAATTCCTACACATTGCTATTTATTTGTGTTTTTCTGAGGCATATTCCATTTGTGTTGTTTTCCTTACATGTTTCCTCCGTCTTCTTAGGTCATCTTTATATTCCTGAGTTTACACTCCTCAAACACTATAAGCAAATGTGAAAGGAGCCTTGTCACTGTATGTTAGCGAGCCATTCAGCAGGCTGGTCACAGGCTTCATAAAGATATTTATATGACCGCAGATGTGCAGGTTGACTGAGGTTTGAGGATGATGAAGAGGATAACGGATGTGTTATGAAGATGATATCATGTTTCTGTTTGTATTTACCGTTTATATTTACTAACATGTATGACAAACCTCATAACAGCGAGATTAACAAGCTCCGCACACTACTTACTGTGCACTTGAACTGTTTCCTAACTATACTGACCACGTCTTTCTGTTGATTATTTATGATTATCATTTGTAACTAACGACACTGTACAGCACATGGGACCACACATGAGTTTATTTCTTTTATGTCCATCACGTCAGGTCGAGTTAAGCAGTGCGGAGGTCTTTGAGATGCCTTGAAGCTGTGTGTTATGGGAAGGGAAATGGCCTTACACGAGTACTTCGCCCGCAAAATGACCATTTGTGTATGTGTGTGTGTGTGCTGCATGTTACCTTGAGTTGGTGAAGAAAACTGTTTTTCTCGCATTCCTCCACGATGAGCGGAGAATCTAAAAAAAAGAGAACATTCTTTACGTATTTAAGTAAATGTGATGCACGTTCAACAACAGCTAAACCATGTAAAACATCTTTTTACAAGCGGCCCATAGGAGTGGGCGATATGGCTCTAAAATAATATCACCATATTTCAGGGTATTTTTGTGATAACGATATTGACAAAATGACAAATTAATTTTAAAAATGTGTTATTCATAGAATTGCAGCAAACTAAGTGATATAGTTTTACAGTTTGCCTTCAAATATTCAGTACAAACAAAACAAAAATGATCTCTCATTTCTTTAGCTTATGAACAACAACAGTAACTCAGAGTGAGATTCAGATTCTGTTACAATATCAATAGTTTAACAAAATAAAATCTACCACAAATTACACATTTAAACAGCTCCCAAATAAATGTCCCCTGGGATCTATATATATAAATCAACAGGTGATGTCCTTCTTTTAGCAAAATCCTAAATGACTGAGTTGGGGTTTTTTTCCCACCTGGACCTTTATGCTCTGCCATTTCTCCTCCAATCATCACACTGTAACCTGTGACAGGCTGTTATGACACCATAACGACCGCACATTCACATATGAGTAGCTTTTTGTCGAGCCGTGAGCGTCACATAGGTTTATATTACCAAAGGTTTATGACAAAATCACTTGTCGACACTGACTCCTGTGTGCGCACGGTGAGAGAGGAGCAGGGAGAGACGCTGTGCTGTTGCCAGAGGAGCTGCTGAATGAGTTCCTTCTGAGCAGTAACTCTCTAAAAGAGTCTGAGAAGTCCGGGGCTGTTCATAAAATATTAAGGACGCCACAGTTTAGTCCACACTACTGAAGCTGCTCCTCTTTTTGGAACCACCGCAGAGTTGTTGCTGCCGTGGGTAACAGTATGAAAACAATAAGTCAAAATATCGCAACTATCACGGAATGAGTTTTTCATATGATATTAAGAATTTTACCGGTATAGTGAAGATGATGTGGCACACCAGTAGCTGTCACACAACTTGTGTAGTATAATCCAAGTCTAATTTATCCAGTCACATGCTCAGTACTTCCCAAAATGTGTATTTTTGCTAAAACTTTACAAAACAAAGCACTTTTGCGTACAAGTAGCACGCCTGAGCATGCATGTGCGTTTGAGCTCCTCATGCTACTTGGTAATACATGAAACCATTTGTACTGATGTGTTTAAACCAGAATGTTTTAGTGGAAATGCATTTTTGGGAAGTACTGAGCATCCGACTGGATAACTGAGACTTGGATTATCCTGCAAGAGTTGTGTGAGAGAAAGCAATATGGCTTCAGTTCATTAAGAATGTTCGCCTTTTTTTGGATTCTTCGTTCATTGTGGAGACATGCGAGAAAACAGTGTTCTTGAATTCAAGGTCACATGCAGTGAGTTTCTGATATACAAACGGTCATCTTGCGGTTGATGTATTCCTTGAACAGTTTTTGAGAATGAACAGATTGTTTTGAAATCACATGGAAGCTTACTATGATAGGTTTATATCTGACAAAGCTGCTCTGATATTTGATTTCTTTTCATCCCAGCTTTGTTCTATCACAGTGTCTGCCAGTCAAACTCAGATTTCAGCTGATGTGCACTCTTAAGGTGAAGATGACGTTGGTCTGAGCCCGGTGCAAACAAACCAATCCACGTTATTTGTGAACTGAGCCTGAAACCTCCATATGCTCTCAGAGAAAGTTAACTAGGAACTGAAAACCGCCGCCCCTGAGACTATTAAACTAAATATTTTTGTCAAGCAGTGAAATTTTCACATCAGCGGTTTTCCCCCCGGTTTTGCCACCCACACACTTGATAGCAATAGTTCATCTCTATAACAATAAATGATAACATAAATTATTTGAGCAGCAGCACATTTCGGCAAATTACAAAGTGACTCATTACAGGGAAATTGAAAAGGAAATGAAATAAAACTTAAAAATTAAATGAATAAGTAGACGGAATAACAACTGATGACTAAAGTAAAAAACGAGAACAACTAATAAGCTTGAAATTAAACTGTAATGGCAAAAACTTTTCAAAGGGAAATCAAAGAGCTGCAGCACAGGGGCAGAGTTAACAGTATATGGCTCTGTTTTAAAGTCAGACAGTGAAAGTGTGTTTTTAAGGGTGTTTTCACACTTGGTCCTTTTCAGCCCTCTAAGCGAATTCAGAGCGGTGACTCAGCTTTTTTGCGCATATGTGAACACTTCAGGAGAACTCAGACCTCTCTGAAGCGAACCGTACGAGGTGGTCTGAGTACGGTTTGCTAAAGTTTGCAGTGCGGTTCACTTAACCTGTGCACTATGAACACAACGTGCTCCAGGTTTGCTTTGCTCTATGCCGGTGTACTTAGCCCTCTAGAACCGTGGTTCCGAACTGGTGGGTCGCTGTCCAAAAGTGGGTTGCGGGTCCATTCTGAATGGACCACAAGTGACTAACGGACAGCTACTTGACAGAAACAGCAGACTAGCTCGACGACACGTCCAAACGCAAGTATGACGCTGAATGTATTAAACGGTGTGGACCTTGAACTAATGACTAAGGAAAAATCTGGACCAGTGACCCAGACGAAACCACGTCGGCCTGTAACGCTTGCAAGGATGCGTGACTAGCAGTAGTTTGGTCCACGGAAGATACTGCACATCTCCAGATGTGGAATGTAGAATACATCAAACGGCAACAGTCTACAGCACAGAAACGCTAAGGTTTTCCTCTGATTTTAAGGTCATCTGAAAGCATAGGGCTTCATAACCGCGTGGCAGGGGCACGTCAAAGTAAAAATAAAACTGTGTCAGTTTATATTAAATATAGTGTTAACAGAAAGAGGACGAAGGGTGCTTTCACACCTGCCCTGTTTGGTTTGGTTCAACTCAAGTTCATTTGCCCCCTAAGTGCAGTTCATTTGGGCAGGTGTGAACACTAGTGATGGCCTCATGAAGCATTTTCTTTATTTTCTGAGCCCACTAGATGGCGCTCTTGGTTTAAAGAGCGAGTCTCAAAGAATGGCAATTCACCAAATGAACTCTGGTGCGGTTCGTTTGTGGTGAGAACGTGTTCCGACCTGGATCTGAACCAACTGCAGTCACATGACACATTGTTTGGGTTAAACATGAGCATGTTACAGTCCTGGAGGATTATTAATGTGCACCTCCTCCTGTACTGCCTTAATATGCACATTCAGCACATCCAATGCATCAAAACATTGTTTTCTAGTTGGAGCCGCGCCTCGTTTTCAAACTGTATGGTTTGACTAAAATTAACAATGACAGCAATATAGTCCACGATGAGCAGCGCTAAAATCAACCTGCATATTCGTCCCAAGGCATTTGATCTGGTCCACTTCTAAATGCTGCCGTGAGAACACGAACCAACTCTAGGCAATTATGCAACTTTGTAACAAAATTAGTCCCTGATTCAGACCAAAGCAAGACAACTCTAGGCCTGGAAGCAGCCTAAGGCCCCATCAGAGCTGAAATTGGCCGTAAAGAGAATTGAGTCCTCTTTTTAAATGAGCTGACAATGTGAACACAAAAAGTCCCTTATCTGTTGGTCCACTTTTTGGTGCACTTTAAGAGGACTGAGTTCAGTTTGTTTTAAAAGGACTATTTATGAAAACACCCTATGACAGGACTGAAATATGGCGGTGATTTTACCTGCCTGGAAGACATTTATCTGACACACTTTTTGTCCAACAAATTGTTTTTCCTCCAGTAAATTATTTTAAATCAGGCACCCAATCTCGGTCATAAAAGCTCTGATTAGATTTTTAAACAGGTGAATGATTAACAGATCTAATTTAAAGTCAGTTTTTCAAAGACCAGCCAGATTTATTTCTCTTTCCTTTTGTTTTTCTAACACCTTCTGAGTCGTCCCTGATCAGACTCAGCACTAACAACGGTTTCAGGTGAAGCGGCAGCGTCACTGTTAGCTCTCATGGCTTATATAGAGCGGGTGGAGTTTATGGTGTTGACCTCGTTAAGGTCAGCAGCAGAACCGTATGATTTACGAGCAGGGCCGTGGGCTTTGTTTTAAATCAGACTGTAAATAAACTAACTCCAGATGGGCCTTTAATGGGTCTCTTATGGACGATTTTGAGTTTATTTTTCTTCCTTTGAAAGACTTTTCAAAGACTTTTTTATGTGTTGACTATTCGAGTTGTGTTTTAGCTGGTCTGTCTCTGCTTATCTGTCTCAAGGGCCAGTCAGCCATCTTGTAAATAGTTTGGAGGAATGTGTGCGTATGTGCGAGTGTGTGTGTGTGTGTGTGTGTGTGTGTGCTCAATCAATCCATGCCTCATCTTCTGACCTGCCTTCTACCGAAAGCCACCAGTTTAATTAACACATTTCCTCATCAGTAATGTTTGACCTCCTGTTGTACAGACGGTTACAGAGCTGCTGACATGTGGAACAGATGAACTCTTCACTCGTGTACAGAAAAAAATCTTAATAAAAGAACTTAACAAAGTGTATTTCTGTGTTAGTCTCATTCTGTGTTCACTTTATTGGCACCACGTCATTACTAAACAGGATGTACTTTTTAATTAATATTGCTTCTGTTTTTTTTATCTCCACTGAAGCAGGCAAGTCAGTTTTGTCAATCCACAAAGCAATTTTCGAGTTAAATGGATATTTTCATTCTAAGCCTATACACTATGTTCTCAATAC